GAAGTCACCAGCTGAACGACAAACAGGAAGTCACCAGCTGAACGACAGGAAGTCACCAGAGTTTTATTTTTATTTAAACAGCTGATGAGAAAGACCACGTTTCAGTTCTTAGAACATGGTCACCACGCTGTGAGCGTCAACAGGACCTGAAATGATTTAGCAGACTGCAGCACGTTCTTATTTATTGAACCAACATGGAGGTCAAACGTGAACAGCTGCTGCTCCATCAGAGGCTCACCATCAGCTGCTGATCAAATGCATTGATCCACTGATCAACATCAGTCTGAGCCCCTCTACAACAGCAGGAGGTTGATTCGTTTTGTTGCTCTGGAGCAAACACGTAAGAGTTAACACGTCAGGATGGAAAGACATCAACAATGGCCTAAGAGAAACAGCTGTTGTTGCCCATTAAGGGAAGGGTCAAAGGTAATTTCCAAACAATCCAGAGTCCATTTTTCTACAGAGACGGAGATGATTCAAACAGAAAACATTTAGGACAGCTGCCAATCTAATTCACCCCAAGCTCAGACTGTGCAGTGATAGTTATTATTGTCTCAGGAAAACCTGTTCTCTAGAAACAACATGGAGGCTCGACTGACGTTTGGAAAGTCATGTCTGAAAGAACCACAAGACAAGAAGACCAAAGTGGACATGTTTACTCATAATGCACCTAAATATCCAGTGAACGAATAAAAGGAAAATAAGCAAGATGTCCCATTGATCTACTCAACCATTAACTCTCTCATCTAAAGACAATTTAGGGTTACCAGTCAATCTAACATGCATGTTTTTGGTATGTGGGAGGAAACTGGAGTACCTGGAGACAACATGCAAACTCTACCCAGAAAGAGCCTGGGCCGGGATTTGAACCGGCAAACTTCTCGCTGAAGGGTGGAAGCTCTACCCCTGAGGGACCGTGCCGCCCCACAACCAGGATAAAAACTGAAATAAACTGGAAAGACCGTCTGAAAGTAATTTCTGCTAGCAGAGGGTCACTGAGCTGTTAGATGATGGGGGATCAGTTCAGCTTCATTGTTGATGCATAAACAACAACAAGGTGGACTCTGTCCACCTGGAGTTAGATCTGACCACTCGGAGTTAGATCTGACCACCTGGACTTAGATCTGACCACCTGGACTTAGATCTGAGCACCTGGAGTTAGATTTGACCACCTGGGGTTAGATCTGACTACCTGGAGTTAGATCTGACCACCTGGAGTTAGATCTGACCACCTGG